GAGAGAGAGAGAGAGAGAGAGAGAGAGAGAGAGGGAGAGAGAGAGGGGGAGAGAGAGGGGGAGAGGGAGGGAGAGAGAGACAGAGAGAGAGACCCCTCTTCTCCGAAGAGCTGAGCGGCAAACGGATGCCCTTCTCCTTACCTCCGGGGCCGGCAGGGCCGGGCGGCCTCCTTCCGGTTCCTTATTCTACTAGCGCCCCCACTTCCTCTCCCCTTTCCCCTGCCCCTTTATCTTCCCCACTTTTGCGGTCGAGTGCGGTGGGCCGGGTATCTCGTCCCGTCCCGCAGGTGCGCCCCCCTTCTGCTCCCCCACCCCCCCTCCGGCCGCCCCATCGTCGGACGACTTTGGCGCATTATTATTTGGCAAAGACATTGCGCAGACTATACGCAGTGTGTACACCGCGCTCCCCGCACCACTCGCTGCACACCCGCTCCCTAGCTCCTCGCTCGGTCTTCTCTCAGGTCTTTGTAGAGGGTGACACGCCCGCCCAACCTCCCTTCCCCCCTACCCCCTCATTTCCCCCGTCTACCCCAGGCAGGGAGCCACAATCTCCCCGCTGCTGTTTCCTGGCTAATTCAGCGTGTCCCCTCCCCCCTCCATGGCCCACCCCGCACACACACGACTACAGGTGCCACTGTGAAAAGTATTTTAAGATTTTACGAGGTAATTTCCCATGAGAAATGGTTTTAAAAATTGCGATTTTAAATCAAAGTTACAAAATTCTTATGACTCTACATATCAACTTGGAATTAATTGTAGAGCAGATATGGCACGCATATTAAATTTACGATAGCGATCGTAAATTGACATGGTTTGTCAAACAAATTGTAATTAGTCGTCAATTATACAAAATATTGTAAATTGAAAAGATTTGTGACAGTGGCAGGCGCCTCGCCTGCGGCTAGGCCAGCAGCTGGTGTTTTGCCGTGGACGCCACCGCACCAGAGATTAACGTAGTCGCGGTATATTCACTTCCCTTAAAGCTTCGTCAGGCGTGCATACCAGCTTCTCTCTCTCCCCAACCAAATAGTGCACACAGTTACTCTGTCAAAACCACCCAAACAGGGGACACGCACGTGTATGTGTATTTGGGCAAGCTAGGTTTATCGAGTTAAAACTTGCACAGAGTGACATTTTAGTTTGGTGAACTTCCTATGGCGGCTCGTTACACTTCTGCCCCCCCCCCAATCCTATTACGCCGGCAAAAAATTATGTTTTATTATATTTATAACTATTTAAGTTTTCCGGTTTTTATACGGTTTAGCAGCGCATTTTCTGAGCCTATATATAGGCTCACGTTATAACGTGAACACAAAGGTTTCGTTTTACAAAGCTGCCAAATGACGCCAAAGGCAGACTATTTGGTTGGCATTTAAAATGCTTTGCTTCGCAAGGTTTTCGACGGTGCAAGGTTAACGAAAGAGAAACCTGAACCTTGAAAAACTGACCCCCCAACAGGCCATTTAACCTCCCCCTCCCTCTCCCAACCTGTCTAATGTCTGGGGGGAAAACGCGCCTTTTAACGTCCCGTAACGCTCTGCAGAACCCCCTCCCTCCCCCCTTTCGCGAGTTGAAAGAGCTCTTTGAAAAATGCAAAGTGATTTAACTTTCCCTGCCGCGGCTTCACTCAGCAGCGTAGGACCACACATCTTCCGACCCAACAAGCGCTCACAGACACACACACACATACATACACACACACACACACACACACATTCACGACTTCTACCCTGCCCCCTGTCTCTTCCTCCCTTTTCCCCTTGCACCCGATCTAATATCTTTCTGTTTTCCTCTCCTTACTCCTCCGCTGCTTTTCATCTTTGAAACGGCTAAAAGTTATCATGCGACTTTCCAGACGGGTTATAATAAGGTGCACCGCCCTGCTCCTCACCCCACTACCCCTTTCTGCGGCGGGCATATGGCAAACGCAATAAACACACGCGAAAAATATGCTAGGTAGGGGCACATCGTTTACCAATTGCTCATTTCGTTCTTTTCTCTTAATGATCCCTCGAGGAATTATCGCCCGCTGACCTGAACCGATATAATAAGCCCGACAGCGTTTATTATTTCACCCAAAACAAACATTATTTCGCTATCGTTCATAATCGCCCGCCCTCTATACCCGCTCCTCCCGCCCGTGTCCGCCGCAACAATATCGCCGCGGAACGATCGCTTGTACTCGCGCGTGCTGCTTATCGAAGGCAAATGGTAATAGTCAGGTGCGCGCGTGACTGTACTCGTTTCCAATGCACGGCCTGATGCACAGCCAGGCCAGCCCAGCGCAGCGCCCCCTGGTCATAGGCGGTGCGGGCGGCGCCCGGGTGCATCAACACCCACGGGTACGACCCGCTGGGACGGGCAGCTCTGCCATATCACGGTTTCGGCGAGGTCCCCGCTGGGCTGGGGCAGGGCCGGGGTGGGGCTG